CCGGGAACGTGTAGCATCGTCGACTGCAACGACTAGGGAATATTGATAGGCTAAAAAGAGGAAAAAAAGTAAATAAATAAGCAAAAAAAAAATATTAATAATAACATACATGTATAAAACGCCTTTGAATCTGTGCTCGGCGGGTATATACCGTCTTGATTGGCAATTTGCGGGCCTTTGAACCGCTGCCGTCGTATAGTCGTCGTCGTTTGTCTCGTCGTCAGTGGCAGCGGCAGCAGGGGGGTGAAAAAAGCTACAGAACGCGCGCAAGATGAAGAGCTGCTGTAGGATAAGAGCGACGGGGTGCGAGAGAGAGGAAAGCGACTATAGTTCTCCTCTCCGGATAAATGCGACCTTTTTTCTCTCACTCACTCTCTCTCTCTCTCTCTTTCTATTTCTATTTCTTTCTTTCTCTTTTTTTGTTAGCGCCTTTTTGTCTACCCCGCCGCCGACTTTGCTCGCCCTTCCACCGCCCGGCCCTCATCCGATACCAAAGCTCGTAATTTATTTCCCCCTTCTACGCCTTTCTTCTTCCGTCGTCGTCAACCCCGGTACCCATATATATATATATTATATGTGGATGCGAGTGTGGATGTGTGTCGTATGTGTGTGTGTGTGTGTGTGTGTATGTTTACGTATATATATATAATATATATACGTGCGTATATAATATGGAAATGCGCGTGACGCGAAATAACGAACCCGGAGCACACCGTCGACTTGAGGAGCCGGGGGGGGGGAGAGTAAAAAAAAACACACGCATGCAGCATCCGTATACGTGAAGAAAGAACAATATTATTCTTTTTTGGCCGCCGCCGCCGTCGTTACCGCCTCCTCTCGCCAGGTCTCTTATTCTCTCGCGAGTCCTCCTGACGCGCGCGCACGTCTCCGCATATTTATACACACATATATATTATATACAAGACGCTATATATGTACATACATACAATTTCCTTCGCGATCGCACGCGCGAGCGTGTGTGTGTGACGTGTGTGTGTGTGTGTGTGAGGCCGCTTTAGAGGAAACTACCGATCGATCTCTCGTTAACTCCCGGTTCCTGCCGCCGCCGTCTTTTACCCCGTTTTGCACACACACTTGCGACAGGCAATTAATCGGCCCGACCGGATATATACACATATATATAGTATTATAATATACACATATATAGACGCACTATTAATTGCTCAACTGAGTTGCTACTTTGAGTTTCACAAGAATATAATATACGAGTGTGATACAAATATATACATGCCGAAGATTTCCCTGCTGGCCACTAGGCCACTCACCCCACATTCCCTTCGGCTTTTGAGTTTTTAAAAGAAACGCCAATATAGACAACGAATAAGGTTGACCTGCACGATTGTGTGTTTCCGCGATGAAGTCCTACACTATGATACGTCGACCCAACAAAAAATAATTAATTAAATATTGTTTACTGAATATATAAAATGATAATTTCCTATAGGTATAAAAATTATTATTGATTATTTCTATACACTAGATTATGTACTATGAAGTTAACATTGTTTTCAGTCCAAACATTTTTTATATTAAATGTCTCTGTCAATATTCTTTCATAAATTTACAAAAATTAACCTACATTATATTATAGGTATATACTATATATAGTAACGCCATCACTTTACAGGGTTCAATTATATTCATGATATAATTAAATCGCAGATTATTAATCATCATATTATAAAAGTGTGCATTTTTCTTAGGACCAAAAAATACTATCATACCTATTAGGTACATAAAAACTTTGAAAACACCACACTTGAAACTTTTGCGTCATAAACAAGCACATTCAAAGGCTCGAGTTTTAGTTTCGGAATTCCATATACAGAGAGAAGAACGTGCTCGCGTACCTACCAAAGTATCCCTATATAAAAAAATACCTAGTGCTTATTATATTAATATGTATATATATATTATATATAGATCGTAAACTTTAAAAGTACAAAAGCCGAGGACCAAAGACTCTGGATTTCGTTTATATTTAAAAGTGAGAGAGACTGAGGGTTGTCGGGGAAATAGACATTATCTCGGTGAATTCATGTTTTAACTTGCTATACATACCTACCTATACAGTAGATTGTCAAAAATTAGATAAATCTATATACGTATATACTTAATCAAGAAAATACTAATCATAATTTAAATATAATATAAGATAAACCACCCTATTAGTGATAGATACTGCTCGTATCCTTCGCTCAGAATCGAATTTTCATATATTATTATAATGATTTAATATCTATATCATTTTATTCAAATTTAACCCGTCCATTATTACAGCATGATCGACTCAATGAAAAATTACAACAGAAGCTATACCGTTCTTCTGTTTTTTTTTTTGTTTGCAGTTCATTTCCAGGGTTCACAAATATTTGGCGATACATGTACAAGATAAGGTTAGGGAAGGGGTGAAATTTTGTCGTCCCGCAGGAGTGTGAGTGATGAGAGGGTGAAGAAAAAAGACACATTTTCAGCAGACCGTCTTCTTAGCAGCGTTCTATATAATAGTGATACTCGTAAATCCTTAAGCTTCCTCACCGGACAATGAATATACATTATAGACCTGTGCATTAATTTTCGTTGAAACTGCTTGTTATTAAAATCATTATAAATATTATAATTTGATGACTATATAACGATGGCTTTCAGAAACAAAAGTTAGTATCCATGTGTATACATGGGGGGGGTAGGTGCAATATACGAATTTTGTGTAGAGTAGAACTCTAAGACAAAGTCACGCGATGATACTATGATGAGTGTGATGACACAATATGATGATTATTGCGATTTTGTAGACATTCAGTTTAAAGAGACAGTCGCCGAGAGGACAATAATACAGTAGAATAATTGATGGTGAAGTGTTATAATTATCATGACTAATGTACAGGTAGTTGTTATATTATAATCTCAATAGGTATTTTATAATGAGCTTTTGAATTCCTAGGACGTGAACCTCGCCTAAAATAATATTATTTTTCATACACTATAACCGACTTTTTTTTTAAGGCATTATAATTATTACCATATTATTATAAGCAGCTGTTCTCGGATCTGTGCATAAAAAATCGTAGTTAACAGTTTTGAGTTTAGATTGCTAACGAGAGCGGACTGCTAGCTAAACACAATATCTATATACCTACTTAAAAGGGCACGTCATATTATAATGATATGTCATTAGGTGTTTATTTTAGAAAATTACTTTGTTTTACGCATAATATTTAATTTTGATAAGTATACCTACGTCGTTCTGCACACAGTACCTATACAATAATATGCATATTGTATGATTCGGAGAGTTCCGCGGCAGTTTTTATGTATCGTTACCATATTATATACAATTATAATATTATTATTATTACTATACGAGTGCTTATAAGTTCCGTGAATTATTTCATTATTAATTCCTATCGTATATAATTTCTCGTTCTCGGAGTTGATGCATATTATAAGTTGTACGCGGAAAATTATAAAAAGTCCAGCACCGTTGTGCCCTCTTTACTGTTTTCAGCGAATCGCATAAACAACAAAAAACTACACGTCATTATAATTTATTGCCGTACATAGTCAATGTGAGCTTTCCGAAGTTTTCGTTAATTAAATTTGTATCACACGACAGCGCTCGATTCGCGTTTCAAAGCGTATATAAACTTCGTGAAACGTTGCAGTTACATAATATTATAAATCACTCGATTTTCTTTTGACCGCCGACACACAATATATTTAATCTACAGATATCCTGCGTACATTTATGGCGTGAATTTCCGAAAAATAAAACTTGTTTTAACCCCTATACAAACAGTGGAGGAAAAAATCTGAGGCGGTCGGTCGCCTTCCCCGCGCGCCCCGTCGTCGTCGTCATTTCAAGCTCAACAGCAAAGCAATATCAATTTTTTAGTTGTTTATCGAGTTGGCCTTTTCTTTTTTAACATTCAGACCGAAGTACGTGTGCAGAACGGGGGGGGGGTAGTGGGTTTTTATTTATGACGCGGTGTCCGTCCGGTCCGAGGGGCATTATTTAGAACGACCGAAAAAGAAATCCCTCGAGCGCTTAAGTCGTTGACGTATATATATATATATATATATGCACTACATAATATATTATTATATAGGGTGTTGAATTTAACTTTGTGCACGACAATTATTTACTCTACGGCGAGGCGTGGATGGCGTTTGTAAAAACAAATAACGAAACTAATACGAAAAGAATAAAAAAATAATAATAAATATGGATTATAGGCGCCGTCCAAATTGTTGCAACTCAACTGCTCTGTATAATATTATAATAATATAGGTAATTATATCACACCCAGACGATGCTTATTGCAAAAGTCAAAAGTTGTCTGAAATGTTGACAGTTAAAAATAGATATATTATAATCATTATATGAACTATTTTCAAATCCTCTAGATACGCACTGTATGTATTATTTGTTATAAGTATTATTAAAATGTAGCTATAACGATGTGATAATATAACTGATTACTGAATAGGTTGTAACAGTGTATATACTATTCCAGCGGTTCTCAAACTGTGGTACGCGTACCACCGGTGGTACTCAAAACTGCAAAAGACTATATGGTGGTACGCGAAAGGTCAAGTGTGTATAGGAGGAAAAAATGATAAATTAATACTTTAACTTATATTTGGAACGGATCTAATATTATTTTATGTTTTATGTAAATAGGTAGGGTTGTACTAAATAAATAATTATACACTGTTAAATGTACCTAAATTATTATTTGTATGCATCATTATTATTGTTAAACGTCATGTATTGAAATTGTATTAAAGTTCTATTTTATTCATTAACGATACATGACCAATCTAATATAATTATACACAAGAATGGTAGGTACCTACCAGAAAAATTGATTTGAGAATCTCTGTGCAGTACATTGTCTATACACTATTTACAATGCGTGTCTTTAATTTTATGTTTTCGCTGCTTATTATGTTACAGATTGTTGCGGAGAGGATCCATGTTCGTGTTTTCCACCGACCAAATCCGACGACTGCTGAATATGACATTTTTTGACAGCGGCTCGACGCTGATCGATTTGGGCGCCGGTGATGGAGCTACTACCGAAAAGTACTTGCCCCTGATCCGTGAGATCTACACAACCGAAAAGTCGGGGCCGATGATCCGGATTTTGGCTGAAAAGGGTTTCAGGTGAAATTTTGCTCTGCTGTCTACCTATTGACTATTAATATAAATTATAATATATATAATGTGAATATTAAATACCTGCAAACCGATGACGATGGTGTAAATGTGTAATGCACCCCAAGGTTAGGTTACCTAAAGGTAATACGTTATCAAAAATAGTTTTCATCTACAGAAATTTCATTATTTTTGATGTTAGCATTTTCGCATCTCTAATGCCCCCCCCCCCCTCAAAATCACACATACACGCAAACACTAATTTGTTCTATACGTACGTTGTATAATATTATGTTATCTTAACAGTTAATTAAATCCAAACAGGAATTTATTTGGCATGTAGACATGTAGTATAAAACGATGGCGTTGAGCTCCATGTCCTCACCCTCCCCCACTTTGGAATTTCAAAATCAAATTAACTCCATTCGTTTGTGCTGGTTTGTGCTTTTCTAGTGTCAGGTTCAGTATTTTTCATTCAATAGGTATTAATTTATGGTTAAAAATAAAACTTCATCTTAGATTATAAGTATCAAAATATTAAGAACTCTTATAATAATTTAACCATCTCATATACTAAAAAAAATTGTGATTCTTATTTTTTTTATATCACTTATAACACAAGAAACATTTTTAGTACCCATTGCAGCCCACCAACACAAAAATGTTTGGTGGGGTAGCTAAACACTTGCACCCTTCTTCGACTACAAAAATGGATTTGGGTTTCCAAAATACATAGAATGGATTTCAAGTGTCACCTGTATCACAATCACATCTTTAGTGTTGAGATGTAAGTCCGTTTGATGAGTCTCAAAGATTTTTTTTACAACTAAAATGGTGCAAACTTAAAAAAATTTAAACTATTTTCTAATCCTCAAGGGTATGGGTATTCTGGAAAACCAAATGTTTTACGACCATACAGCTAAAAATAGTTATATTTAGACAGTTATCATCAGATTCGAAAGATGAAAATATTTATTTTACAAAGGGCAGTACATGACTGGGATCACATTTCATTATTTCAACCCCCAAATGTCAAAGTTGTATATCTCAGGAATGGATAAAGCACAAACGACCGGACTAAAAGCAAAAACCAGCACAAACAAAGCACAAACAAATGGAGTTAATTTGGTTTTGAAATTTCAAAATGGGGTTCGGGGACATAGAGCTATGGCGTTGCAAGCTTAAGACAGGAGTATACCCAGGTTTACGGCTCTCGCTTACAGTGTCATAGACCATATGTTAGAGAAGTCACGGGCCGTGGAGGAACAGGTGGGACTAGATCGTGTCCCAAGTCAGTTTAGTCGTCTGAGGACCACCAGCACTAAGCCCTCTAGCCCGTACCTTTTCTAGCAGGTCCAGCGTGAATTGGAACTCCCCCCTCCCGTGGTACTGACTAGGTAAAACCATCTAGCATTCAACCCAGAGAGTTGTGAACAATTTATTTTATATGTTTTTTTTGGTCTTGTATGTTAGGTTAGGTTGCTGGTATGCTGTGTTTACCATATTTTACTATATTGTTTACCACATACGACCCCATTTGAGATGGGAAGACGTGGTAAAGGAGACGTAGGATCACTAAATGGTGGTCCAGATTGTAAAACAAAAGCATAGGACAGAGAGACTAAGAGATTTGGTTATTTTTCCAGATGGCACTAGTGGTAGCTAATACCCAAGAAGAAGAAGAAGTTCGCCATATTTTTTGATTAATATTCGATTTATCATATTCATTATTATAATTTTCTCGAACTGCTGAAGTAAATGTATTATTTTTATCTGCGTATAATTTTACATTATACATTCTTGTTCCACATCTCCAACGGGTATAAAGTTCTCTTTTTTGTTACCTATTTGATCCAAAATTTTACTTAAAATTACAACAGCCACCCATATTGGCTTCTAAGAATTCATTTTTTGTTATATAAAATGTAATCACTATAGTCACTATCTTCAATACAATTAGGTATCACAATTTATCTCAATGAAACAACGCAAAGAAAAAAAGCTATACCTATAACTATTTAGCACGAAAATGACCGACCTACTAATATTAATATAAATTGATCATATTATTTGGGGTGGATGAATAGAAGAAACTACTTTATCGTATTTAGTAGAAAAGAGGACGTGGGAAAAAAGGGAGAAAATAATTTTTGAACGAAGGTACAGTCAGAAAATTTGAAGACTGAGCACAGATGGATATAATTAAAGGTATACACTTATGAAGACTTATTTGGGTCAAAATTGTTTTTATTTTCAAGAATTATTTACATTAATCAAGAATTACCACAATATTTGAAGATGATTCTCATTTTATGTAAATAATATTAGTACCTAGGTATATCAGTAATAAAAATGTTTTGATTTTTTTTCCATTTCATACCATTGAATAGTATTCTGTTATATAGTATATACAAATTTCAAGTTGGGTAAACTATCAGCGATTGGGTATGCAAAGTTACAATTTGTTTATTTCTTGTTTCAAAATGACAAATGTTTTTAATATAAAAATATTATTTATTTTTAAATAGTAATCCGTGTGTATATTATACGTAAGTATTCAATATTTCATAGTTAGCTATTTTGTATTTTGAAGTGTGTTTGCTAGATGCAGCACAATTGCGCACTTTTTCCATTTAGATTCTGAGCGGAGCACTGGATGTATTGATTTTATAATCATGTCGTGTGTCTGTAATCAGTAATCACACCTATTGAAACAATAAACATTTTCGAAATTTTTAGCTTTTTTTAACTATTGTCGATTGGTCAAAAACCTTGGACATTTAATACAAGGTTCCTCGTAAGTTATATAAATGTAATGGATAAAAAATTAACGTTAATCCTAATTGTTTATAAGTGTCTGAAGAAAGACTTTAGACAACGTTTGTCCAAATCACAATAGAGTTGAAAATTATTTAGGGTTAGAAATTTATAAAAAATTTTCTTATTGTGTACCTATCGAAGATTTGAAAATGAAAATAAAGGTACCTTATACATTTTTCTACTTTCAACAAAAAAAAGTGTTTGCCTGAAAATCACATCGTTTTTTTATTGTAGTTCGAAGTTATCAATCTCTTACGAAATTGGATATTTACCCAGCGCAAATTAACAATTTCTCATCGAACTATTACTTTTTTTGCTGTAATACAAAAAAAAAATAACCGTAATTGAACTTTTCTCAACATTTTTATTATTTTATTTTATCGTTTTATATACTACATAACATTTTTAATTTATTTTGACTCTTTTTGAGCTATTTAGTATTTATTGAAATTTCCAATTTTAAATTTTTTTTCCCTATATTTATAGGGAATCAATAAAAAAATATTCATAAGATCAAAAAAAAATTTAAGTTATATATTATGTATAAGCATTTAAAATTCCAATTTGTTTAAATTAATCAAATTCACGAACATTTTAAAATTTTTTCTAGTTAAAAATGTATAAAATGTTCAATATTCATAGCTAAGAATTGAATTTTAAAACAAGGTTTCTTATAAGTAGTTCAAACTATCAAACTATTTATTTTCAAATTGAAAATATTCAAATTGAACATAATTTTCTGTCACTTTTAGAAAACACAGAGCCATTACCTGAGCTACCAAGAAGATCGTATTAATATTTATTTACCCTTAAAAAATTAAATATTTGTTGTTATTTATTTTTTACTAGCTTACAAGTAATTACATAATATATTAAGTAGAACTCTTAAAAAAATTATGTATGTTCAACTCCTTTGAGATGTAACTATTTCTGCAATAAGTGCAACTCAGCCAACTTGGTAGGAAATATGCAAAAATTCGATTTGTTGCAAGCGTTTACCTGAACTGCCCAATTAACGAATGGCAACCAATAAAATAATAAATATTTATTTCTGCTAATTATTTCTCATACATCCAATAGCACAAATTTATAAACAAAAATGTCCATAGTAACTTTCAAAATCCCTGTTTGAGTACCTCCCGGGTAGGACTTACCGTGTCCAATTGTGAATCTAAATTATCCCGGGAACCACTCAAACACACTCAAAAAAATTCATCAAAATCGGTCCCGCCATTTAGGATTGCATAAAGGATAGTCAGACAAACATTAATTTATATATTATATTATATTATCTACGTATACCTATACACTCGTGGCTCGTACGAACTTTATCAATTTAAGAAAATCAACTTTCCTATAATTTTAAAAACGTTGTAGTTAGCCAGCAGCTGCAGGTGGTGCTACATATTTATTTACATAGACGATTGCATTGCCTATTAAATAGTATATAAGTATATAATTTCGTTTAGGTATATTGATCTCTATACTTCTGTATATGATATATGAATATTAGTATGTAGTTATATAGTAGTAAATATCTACCTATATCTAAGTAATGATGTATTGTAAGCAGATTGTTGGACGTTGACACATGGTGGACTCGCGAAGAGAAATTCGATGTGGTGTCGTGTCTAAACCTGTTGGACCGTTGCAGCAATCCTGCAAAGCTCTTGGAAGAAATGAAAAAAGCCTTGAAACCCAACGGCAGGATCGTAGTGGCGCTGGTGTTGCCGTACAAACCCTACGACGAATTCAGTGAGTACAGCAGCCCTGCTATTGTAATAAAATATAATAATATAAGTCTATAATGCCGGGTTGCATGAAAAATGTGTTATAATCTAATAAAATGAAATGTTTTAATTGTAAATGTTATAGGTCAATCGAGGGGCCCAAAATCATGATTAAGGAACTAGCTTTAACTTAGATACTATTGATTCGTTAAATTTTTAGTGATTGTGCATGCATTGTAAAAGTATAAGTATTAAAAACCTATATATTATGAGTATTTTATTTACTCGAACCTAGTGGCGTAGGTATTATATAAGTAAGATTTAATTTCGAGATGGGGGGGGGGGGCTAGAAAAGTTGATCCCACTGTGTTTTACGCCATTGCTCGAGCCGGTCTCTTTACAATGTGCTATACGTTTGCTGCAGCAGCGCATATAGCATGCGCTATTGTAGTTGAGCTAAACACTTATCAGTTATCGAACATAGGGCATAGGCAGGGCCGTATTTAAGGGGGGGCAACGCGGCCAATTTTTGACACATTTAGGGGGTGGCCAGGCGCTGGTGTATATTATATATAATTAACATTTTTTTTTTTTTTGTAAGAATGTGTTTAAGTACCTATACTTGTACTTTTTGCATTGCATCCCTATGATACGGCCAATTGGCGCCATTTACTCATTTTATCAATCAATGATAACTATTAATTTTTGTAATTTTTTTATCTAGATTTCAATTGTATGTTGTTATACGCTTTGACAATAATTAAAATTCGTGATCTGTGTTTTTAACAACATTTTCATAAATAAAGAAGTACAACTAAACAATTAAAAAACGGATTTATTTTTATTTTTTTTTGGGGGGGGGGGCGTAAAAATATTTTTAACCCAGAGCACAAAAAGTGTAAATACGGCCCTGAACATGGGCGCACATTGGGGGTGATTGCCCTGCTAAGTCTCACCAAACTTAGCCGTAGCCCCCCCCACAAAAAAAACCTAAGACATAACATTTTAATATACTATATTGCAATGGTCTGCTTGCCTTTAATATATTCAGCCCCCCCCCCAAGCCAAAAGTTGAAATTGCACCTATATTATCGAAACGAATTTGGCGTGGCATTTCAGCATTTGTATTATGTTTCCATGTTTTATACTAAAACATCTGAGAATTCTTGAAATACAAGCTTGTATAGCCTAAATACTGCAGTTGTTAAAAATCTGGACCGTTAAATCGTTTTCAATACACAATAATCTGATAAGTGATATTATATGATAGTATATAGCGAACGTATCGTATCGAACCGTTTTAACCACTATTCGTACCTACTTCTATAAGTAATAAGTTATAACAGATGCTCGTATACCGGTATAAATCGTATAATATTTTAGAAATATACCTAAATTTCTTATGTCATTACCTTTGCATGCCCCTTGCCAGGTATGCTTTGAAATATAACATAATATTATTATATTCCAGCAATATCTGCTAAATCAACGGAGCTTTTGAAAAAATTCTAAAAAAAATGTAGGTATATTGTGGTAAAATGACCACCAACTATAAGTCGATTCACTTTTTATACATACTAATTTTTTATGTAAAAAAAGGGAATGGGTCATTAATGCATTTATTAGTTGCATGTTATTACCGATAAAGTCAATGTGGATATATAGACGCCTCGTTGGCCGGAAAGAACGTTGCGTCGTTGCTAATGCCACATATTGCACACAATGGCGGATTTACGGATTTATTTATGTTATATTATATATAGTACACTAGTATAATATATTAATATAAGGTTATTTATATACCTATTTCAAATATACTGAAATAATATACTGTTAAATATTATTTATTTTTAATTTTTCAACAATCATACGTTCATAAAAATCAAAATATTACGTAGGTTCTCTTGAAATATCTATTATTTTTAGGACACCCCCCCCCCTCCAGAAAAATTTTGAAAATCCGCCACTGTAGGTACATAATATATTATCCTACAAGGATAATAGAGATAATATTATAATAATTAATAATAATATCATATTATCTCGTATTATTTTGTAAACAGGTTCCGCGGAACCGGAACAAAAGTTGCCGATCACAGGCGTTACGTTCGAGGAACAGGTGTGTTCGGCGGTGCACGACGTGTTCGAACCGTATGGACTGGAAGTTTTATGCTGGACAAGACTCCCGTACCTGTGCGAAGGCGACCTGAGCCAGGATTACTATTGGCTGCACGACGCCGTCTTCGTGATGTCCGCGAAAACACCGCCGCAAGTCGTCGAGAACGCATAGCACTCCCCAATCAATGTACAGGGTGATTCTCTTGTTATCGCCATATTAGTACCCATATCACTTCAGATTATATACAATTGTATATAATCTGTGATGTTACAGTCATTTTCTCGGTGAATTTATGTGTTTTTAAATACATTTTCTTGCTTACAATAAAAGTAACCAGCTGAAGCGAATAAAACACACACTATCGTGTTTGTTTTTTATTTTCTGAAACTACATAATAAGTTTTATAGGTACATTTTTTATTTTATATTACAAAGTTGAATATTTTCCTGAGAATTTCACATTAAAAAAAATCTCTAATTTTGAACCTGTGTTATTATTCAGTGAAGTATCTAGTACATACTAATTACACTTCGAGGGATGTGAAAATATTTCTGTACAAAATATACACAACATTCATATAGGTACAAATGGGTATTACCTACCTATGTCCTATATACAGGTTTTTATTTTATAATACAAAATCTAATGTTCTAACTGTTCTAAGACTCTACGTGTAAAATAACGTCAAATAATATCAATTACTTCTTTCATATTGTGATTTGTGATGTTGTTTTTGTGCATATTTGTACAAACACTCTTGTTTATGGTTATGAGGAAAGGATTTATGACCATCCGCTTAATAGGACGACGTACCCACAAGTGTAGTCTCATCACAAATTTCACCTATTCCTTGGTTCAGTGACTATTCCGTTATATATATGTTTCGCACAACGCACTGCACCTATACAGCTATAGGTACTGAATCAATTAGGTTTAGGTAGGTACCCATATGATTTAAAGTTTTGATGAACGAAGTAGTGAACCAAAGTTTTGCGGACTACCTATCCCCTATGTCATATTGCAGTACTCATCTGATTAGGATATTCTATCTTTATGTGTTAAAACTTAAAACTATCAGGAAAATATTCTGTATCAGAATTCGAAATTTAAAATTTACCCACCTAAGTCAATATTCAAAAGCAGACTACGATAAAGAAAATTTAAAAAAATGTTGTATTTTAATGACTAAATTATGTAAGAGAAATATTTTCCACAACATAAATTTACTGAGAAAATGTCAGTACCTACTTATATTAATAAAAAAAAATCACCTGGTACATAATATAATATACGAATTCACCCACAGCGATCATATCTTCGGGTAAAATTAATTGATGGAAAGGTATAATAAAAACTCATTTGTGTATGCTTAATATTAAGTTTAATTTTTTTTTCGAATATAACATTATGAACTACAATATAATTAAATCACACATATTTTTTTTATACATCGGATTTAAAACTTCTTAAGACTACATAATAATATTATGTCGCGAATACATAATCATTATCATAATATAACAATAAGTGTAGTCTGTCTACCTATAGGCTATAATATTTATGTAATAATATATACGTACAACACTTTAAGACGTCGTTCAAATGTCGGGTTACGAAATTGGCAGGAATGGCATAAAAACATAAATGACTTATAATATGGAAGTCCCCACCAAATTATATAGAGCAAAATTTGGACGACCCTGCGGTCTGCAGCTTACATTATGCGCTTTACACAAATAGGAAAATAAAGTCAAAAACTACGCATCAAATTTTGGATTTTGGTAAAAATTAAAGAATGGATTAGGAAAGATCACAGATACGTTTTTTCTTCAAATAAAGACAACTAAAATATTACCATACTATTAAAATAATAGTATTAAAAATACATTACATTTTAACACACAAATCACATTTACCTATTATACTGTAATAATATTGACTCATTTTTGTAGCTCAACGTTAACATTTTTGTTTACAATTGCCCAGGGGCGGACTGGAAATAAAAATTAGCCTTAAGGAACAAGAAAATTCGGCCCCATTTTGGGCTAATAATAAAATATTCATAAGTTATCGGCCCAAATTTTCACCAGGCCCAAGAGGGGGATCGCTCTTGAGCCACCCTAGCCCGTCCGCCCCTGCAATTGCCACTCTCTTAATAAACTAACATTTATTTTAACCACACATTTACACAATCAAATCTATACTTTCATTTTTAAACATGACAATTTAAAAAAAATATATCATGATTACCATGTTTCCAAATAGTATAGTTACAAACATGTAAAAATGTTCACAGAAAATAACTGTTATGATGTTGTTGTTTAAACATTGAGCTTTAATATTTTATTGTGTACGTTTGAACAAATAACACAAATTAGTATCCACAAGAAAAGAAGTTTTGATTAAATTATTAAAATCAAATGTATGGCGGAATATAAGAACATAGCAAATGAAATCCATTTATAATCATATAAAATAAATACCATCTGTACATTAGCCATTAGGATAACTTAAAACTTTGTTTTAGATGTTTAAACAATCAACAATCATTGAGCTTATAAAAATCATTATAATATTATACAATATATAGGACTTAGAAAACTATGTTGGAACACTTAGTATTGATATTATCAAAAAAAAAAAAAAAATACATAAAAATTAAAACATAATAAATTATAATATCATGTGATTTTGTAAAATTACACATTTGCACACTTAAATACCATTTTACGTATATTGTGTATATAAAATTAATAATAATAAAAATCAAACATACAGGCATCATTAACTATTAGATCACCAATTAGTATGAAAGATGTTATTGTTGACTAGTGTAGTATAAATGTTTAGGTGTATCATAATATTATAATTCAGCAAATAAAGTGATGTAGTTTAGTTTAGTCTAAAAGGTCATAGACTTTAGGTTTGACAATCAAATAACTCACTTCATTTGTTGAACCAAGTATACATTTTATGACAGTTATTCTGAAAATAAATTTAACTGTACCTACTAATAAAATAGATAACAAAATTCCTAACCACAAAAAATAAAAATAATTTTAGATCAGTGAACACTTTAAGGCGCCCGGTGCCATTGCAATTTTGTACTCAAAAATACTCTGCGAGAATAATTATACCGCCTTGTAGAATCAACCAAATTTCATAATTTTTTTTTTTAATTGCTAGAAGGAAATATTCTATAGCTTGCATCAATCTCTGTTTTTCAATATTTTATTCTCAAACTTTATTATGTGTTTATATGTATAAAAAAATACAAGATAAAAAGCATTTTTTACAAATTTTTTAATACAATTATTTGAAATAAAATACAAAATTAGAAATCGATGCGGGCTGTAGAAAGTCTTCTTCTTTCAGATAAGAAATAGTCATCAAATTCCGCCAATTCTACAAAGCCTGAGAGTTATTCCCGTGAGGCGTGAAGTTATTTTTTTCGATATAATACACCCTATCAACACCCTCTAAATAGGTAAGATGTTAGTAGATTAGGTATATAATATTATTATAATTAAGGTGGCAACTAAATAAAAAAAAAATTATCAAGTTTTATTGAATTTCGGAAAATTTAAAAAACTGACACCAGGCCACTTAAATAAAATAATAATATAGTAGATTCCCAGTAACTTGTACCTTGATAATAAGAAAGTATTGATATCTTAAATTGGGTTCTTTCCTTTAAAGGCTTAAGTTTAAGTTACCGAGTGTCGAATGTACTTAAAATATTCTATAGTTTTAACCAGTAAACACTTATGTTATATTATTTTATCCATAAGAAGTTCATATGGTATAAAAAAATCCTACTGTTACTTATACATTTATAGTACAAATTGTATCAAGCAAAAACTCTATCATTATTATTACTGTCCATTAAATGCTTAAAACGGTTAAAACAAGTAATATATAATATATTGACAGCTTTTGATACAAAAAATGAAAATAATAGTTCAAATTATATTGCTTATGTACCTACTAGGCTATTGTAAATATAAATTACTAATTTTATACCTAATTAAATTAAAAGCAAAATGTTTCTTGTTGAAATAAAAAAAAAAAAATTAGGAAATAATAAATGAATGCTTAAGTGCTTACAGGTTAAGTTTGATAAAATATCAATACAACATAAACATTAAACAGTCAATGAATTATTATTAAAATAAGCGTTTACTTATAATAATTTTATAATTAGTAAATTATGTAATCGTAATCAAAAAATTGAATTAGTTATTTGATGTATACTTAGGTTACTATTATGGCATGAAATGTTTTGAAAGTTGAAACTAAACAAAACATAGACATTTGGCAACATACATTTTGATATCATGCTGACAACATGTACACAAAAAAAAATTGTAATAGTTGTTGAATTATAATAATTGAACAAGATGATAAATTTAAAATAAATAAATATAGGTAAAAACCTCAAACTAGAAGACACTCATATGGAGACATTAATAAGATTTAATTTAAATAAAATGGTAAGATCCCTCCAAGTAAACAAACAGATTTTCCCATTAATTTCGGGAAAAATAGGGAATTTTGACTAGATGTAAAAATAAAATAAAAGTAACGTTATTTTTAAAAGTTGATAAAAATAGTTGAAAAAAGATTTACTTTTTGCGAGTTTAGTACAAACCCTCAATTTTGCTTGTTACGAGACATTGCATCACAGAGATCTTTAAAATTGGCAGCTGAAACTGTTTGATTAGAATTGTCTAAAACAGTTTTTCTTAATCTAAAAAATATTTTAAAATATAGTTACATTTCTTATGAATTATTCAATTTCATTATTAAATTCAATAAAAATGTATTAATATGTTGCATGTTACCCATGTTTATCTTCATTTTTCCAGCTACTGACTGCAATATGTGGTGGAGGAAGAAACGATCTTAATGACTGAACAAGCTGAATTGTATCAATCAAAGCTGAAAAATATTTCAAATTATAGCACACCAAAATGAAAAAAAAAGTTAGAGTAAATTAAACCAGAAAATTCTATGAGTATGGTTTTCACAATAAAATTAAATTTGTTGAGTTAAAATATTAATTTTGTTAAGAAAAGCTGCATTAACAATATTTTATTTTTAATAAACTTTACTTTTTTGTAATGATTCTGATTGTTTTCCATAAGGCTTACACATGGCTGGTCTCACACATGCTTTCATTCTATTCATATTTTTCATTATTTCTGAAAATGCTCTAATAATTTTTTCTTGGCCAGCTAAAATTAAAAATAAACAGTCATAATATGTTATGCTCGGTTACCTAGGGTTTGAAAACCAGTTGTTAGAAAAACAGTTAAACCCTGGTTAGGTTTTTTTATTAGGTAATTTCTTAACCAAAACCTAAGAATTTCAAAAACTGTTCACAAAACTTAAAACAATATCGGAAAATTTAAAGTGTTCTAAAACTGAAACCAAACAATAAATAGTTTTGAGCCCTGGTGTATCCATAAGTTAATATAATTATTATTTTAATAATTATAGCAAAAATATTATTGTAAATTCTAAAAGGGGTTAAATAAGACGACTAGATGATTTAATGAAGGAGATTGAATATCAGAAGAAGGATAACCCTATAGACAAGAGAGTTGAAAGAAGTGAGTGATTTTGGCAAAGGATAGAGGGGACGATAAAAGAGAATGTGTTCAAAATTACAACTATCTTCCAAGGGATAAAAATTCAAAGAAAGAAATGTCAGAGAAGAATGTGTCAAAGAAAAAGAGAAGAATAAGGCTGGGATCACATAAGCGTTTTATTGACATATGTTACGTTACGTTTGTTGTTGAATTCTACAATTTCAAATAATTACTTCATTATAACATTGAGTGACATAATAGTAATCAGGATTTCTAAATTGCCTTCAAATTTATTACAACCAATAATTCTTATAAAATTTATCTTTAAAGAAATTTAAAAATATTGCCTAATTATAACAGCACATTAATACTTAAATTTAATACCAGAACTTGTCATTTTTATAATTTCATAACAATTAATAGTTGTCATATATTATGTATGGAGGATATTTAAAAAAACATATCTATGAAAAAAGTGTCAAAACAAATGCATTGAATTCTAAAACTAAAATAAAATTTTGTAGAAATGTAATGTATAAAAGAATAAGAGAGTAACTGTTGCTTTAATGATGGTATAATAATATCATTTTTACATTTTTAGTGCCGGCATAAATATAAATAAAAGGAATTAACAATACAAGCTATATGGCTGTCTTGAAGATAAATTATGTTACTCTTACATGTTTATGTATGTCAGAGACGGATTTACACAATTGCCGCCCCTAGGCAATTTTTTTTTTTGCCGCCCCATTAAACAAATTTTTAAATACTCATTTAACAATTATTAACATAAGTACTAAAAAAATAAATCATAAAGACTGATACTAAACAATAATTAATGGCAGTTATGTTAATAAACTGTTCTAATAAAATGTTTTTATAAAATATAGTGTTTATTTACCAGTAATTTAAGTAGTATACTAATAACCAAATATGAAGTCTATCAGCCTTGAATGTTGTGTTGAAAATAATCGAATGTCTAATCAGAATAAACCTATTTTTTCTCGGCCGCCCTCTATTTCATAGTTCCGAAGAAAAATAAACAATTATTACATAATTTTATCTTTTGGATAGAAAAAGTTTTATTTTTGTACACATAATGCATAGTACGTACGAGTATATTATATAAAAATATTCACAGTGACTGGTTTATAATTAGACTATCGTCACCCTTATTCGTATTAAATATATCATATCTGTATGTATTGTGCGTGTAGTGTTTAGTATTTAGATAATAGATCTACGTTCCGGCAGTCGTTCGATAATTTACTTGGACGTTTATTGTTATGTATTATAAAATAAAGAAGAAATTATATTAACAAGAATATTATTATACTTAAATATTAAACATTTTTTTTCCATCCTTCAGAGTAATCACCGTACATTAGAAAATCAAAAAGAAACTTAGAGTATTCTCAATAAAATATTGGCCTAAAATTGCCGCCCCTAAAAATTTGCCGCCCTAGGCAACTGCCTACTTTGCCTGACGCTAAATCCGCCACTGATGTATGTATGTTAACTTGAAAAAATATTTAGGCAACAACTAAAAAAAATAATACCTTACCTATACAGTATACATAATTAACAGTATGTTATAAGAGTAAATATCAATAATATCATACAAGTGCCTTAATAGAATAACAACCAATTAGGCCAGCTCACGGTAGGCTATACAAATGAGATATTATTACAGTAAGGTGACCATATTTAAAAAAATAAAATTCAGGACAAAAATATTATCATATTGTTAAATATTAATAATTTAATATATAATATTTTTAAATTAATAAGTATTTATTATATTTTTTTGTTGTCCAATAAGATAACGCTTGTGAACGACGTAGATATATTATTAGGCTATTATTAATATTTATTTATTTCGCAATATGCTCACATTTGATTACGAACTGGTAGCGCCAGTCGGTAAATATACTATTATACGTCCGGTTTACGTTGCCGACAACAATGTGATGCAACAATAATAATGGTAAAAACAAAAATCCAAAAATACGATAGAAAAGTATAGATTTTTATATTATTCTATTCAATAATGCCATTTTAAAAATTTCAAAAATTATATATATTAACAATAAGGCAAAAACGGGATTAATATGGAAATACTTGAAATTACAGGACAAAAAGCATCCTGATAGAAGTTTGTCAGGACAACAGGACATAAGTCCAAAATAAAGTACAATACTGTGTAAAAGAGGATGTATGGTCACCCTATGCACTCTTTGTTACAGGCAACAAAATGGGCTTTTAATTGATACATTTTTTTAAAATCAGAATTAAAATTATAATTATTCTTACCATCTAAATGACCTTTACGGTTGTCTGAAACTTCAGGCCAAGTTGTGTCATGAGCAGCCATTAGATCTTTATTGTCTAGATTTTCAAGATTGGCCTTTAAAAAATCTGCCAACTTATTGTGCTGTGCTTGTCTTGCACTTACAGTTTTTGGAACCTGCGGTATGTGTATAGGCATTGGATTCGGTATTTCAGGGGCTGGATGTGGAGATGGTCCAGTTAGATCGACAGGTGCTGAATGTGGTTGCTGGGATTGACTACTAGAAGGTGCCAAACCATGAGCACTTAATTGCTGACTAATCATTTGACTCATTGATATACTTGGACTTTCACGACCAACTGGAATATTTACACCTAATAAATAAAATTCAAAAATTAATATTCTAATTGACTAAATCATAGGTTTTACCAATGTAGTGTTAATATGACAATATCCTACCAGAATTTGGAGAGTTCATGTAATTTGACTGCTTAGTATGTTGAGATAAATCTAATTGAGTCTTGTAATAGCGACATGCTGGGTTTGGACAGTTTTGTACAACTTCAATAATAAACTCTTTCTCCATACCAAAGTTTTCACGACCAATTGTATATGAATCCATAACCTATGAATTTGATAACACAAACAATAGTACAAAATGTTCACTGTTCGTACTGGCCATCCAATAATTTAGATACATTGCAAAAAAAAAAAATAGAATCAAGTTCACTAAAAAGTATATTATAAAAAACAATGGATCTTTTCTGTTTTACAGTCACCATTTCTGAGGTTTAAACGTACCTATATAGTGAGGCATAATGAAAACGATGATGAAGTCAAAATTTGGAAGCCTGTCTTCTTTTCAAAGTTATAGCTCATTGTAATATACAGTATTTTCATATAGACCCGGCGTGGTCACTCACTAGGACAATTAAAATCGAAAACATTCTTCCTCGGCTGTTATGTAAAACCAAATTGGATGGGTCTAGGACAGGGGTCACCAACTGGCGGACTGCGGTCCGGATATGGACCTCGAGCACTTTTTTAACGGACCGCTAGTGCGTTTTCCGTTTTACATTGATTAAGTTCATAAGCGCCAAACCGGCGAGGGAAACAGGCCGTCGTCGGAGTGGCGCGTATGAATTTGACCAATGTAAATTAAAATATGAGCGTACGATACGTCGCGTATGATACGCGTCCATGTGAAACGGGCCCTTATCCACGGAATAGTTTTTATCTAGTTTAAATCCGATAATAAACATACACTTTACAGTACGATCAATTCTGGACGAAATACGTTTGTTCAAGTAAATACCCAGAACTAAATGCCTAGTTTCAAAACTGTGTACAATGTTTGGATCAACATATGTTTGTGAAGCAGCTTTTTCTAAGATGAACTTCATTAAAAACAATTTCAGATCTCGGTTAACAGATGAACATCTTAACGAGTTAATGCAAATCAGTTGCACCAACTTCACACCAAATATTAGGAAGCTCGGGAAAACTAAAAAATGTAATTTTTCACATTAAAAATGAAATATTTCAAGTATAATCTTTTTTTTTTGCAAATTCAATTTAAATAAATAAATAAATATAAATACAAATTTAAAAATGTATATACGATATACCTATTTATTAACGTGTGTATAATTTAAATTTTTATTTTTATTTAAATTAATATTGACAGATTAATGGGCCTCACTGAGAAATTTGAATAAATAAATAAGTATAATAACAAATTTATTAATTATAAATACCTATTTATTAACGTGTGTAAAAGTCATTGAAACTGTTTGGACTGCATAAAGTTTGGTAAGTTTCAAAACGGACCCCCATGGAAATTAGTTGGTGACCCCTGGTCTAGGACTTCAAATAGCTATAACTTCAAACCTAAGTAAGACCTCCAAGTTCTGACTTTACAATCGTTTTCAGCATGCCTAACTACATACGTTAAAAACCAAAAAAAAAAATTGAAGGACCTTTTCTGTTAATTCACTACCACTATTTTTAGTAGCTATTCAGCATTGGTCAATAGGTACCCACTGTTTTTTATTTTGAGATTTTATTTTACTCCAAGAACTCTCAATGGTATTAGTAAAGTTATGGAAGTTCAAAGTTACAGTGATAACGCGTGTATCGGCAGTCGTCGCTGCGCTCCTCTGCGAAGTCGCTCCGCTCCGAAAATTTAAAATATCCCCCTACTTGTTATGCAACTCCACCTCAAGTTGGTCACAGGATAACTATCGTATATCCACTCTTAATACCTATTATATACGTGTTATACGTATACCACTATTTAAATTGAATAGTCGTTGTAAAATGAAGGTAGTTATTAAGAGTGGATATACGGTGGTTAACCTGTGACCAACTTGTGGTGGTGTTGCATAGCAAGTCGGGGGATATTTTCAATTTGCGGAGCGGAGCGACGGCGCCGAGTGCCGATACACGCGTAATCACTGCAACTTTGAAAAACCGAAAAAAGTGGTGGTAGTGAATAAACGGACCAATGCTGAATAGCTACTAAAAATAGTGGTAGTGAATTAACGGAAAAGGTCCAAATTGAAATATTGGTGTCCGGTTAAACAGAAATATACCAAAATAATAAACCAAAATAAAATTAAAAACATCATCTATAAAAATTAAACGATTAGGTAATTATACTCTATCTCAAAGAGTTTAGTTAATACGTACAAAATGTTGTATTACTAGAACAGGATTCACAATATTATTAATATTTTTTGTACAAAATATAAACTTTTATTACCGCTCGAACAGTTCCTTCAACACCCAAATGTAATCCGTGTGGGCCATTCATATGTTTTAACATTACCGCATTTGCAAAATGTTCATAAGGTAAAATAATTTTACCATTCTCTCGAAGGATTAATCTTGCTTGACTATCTAATGATACTCTCGAAGCCATCATTCTGAAAAAATATTTTAAATGAATAAGAGAATAATGTTGGTATATAACTTTTACAATTACATAAATGTATGTATACTTGTGTATGGAAAACTATGGTATTTATAATTAATGCACATAAAAAGACTTTCTTTTATCACATTACATAATAATTATAAAATACATATATCATACATCTATTAACATAATAATATGTTATTGTCTTATTGACAAAATATGCAAACACCTATTAACATGATAAATAACATCAGTGCCCGGTGGAAAGGCCAACTGATATAAGTATATAATCCTCAATAGGTTAGGTTACCCTCAATATAAGTATATAATCCTCTAACTGAATATTATAATAGGGGATAAATTAAAATTGTATTCCAAATTAAGCTTTTTGTTAATTTAGGTTATTTTTAAACATCATAATATCTTGTACCTAATTCTAATTAAAATTAAATTAAAATAATGCACCAGTTATTTGATTGCCTCTCAAAGTAGAGGTATAAGTGGAGCGCTTACTCTTCAAGTAACCAACTGTTATTGGTTATATTATCACATTTAAGGATACCTGAGAAATACACTAATATTTTCAGTTAGGTTATATTATTTGTCTGGAAAAATCAGGTTTTCAGTTTCAATATGAAGGATTACGTTGAAGCATACATTACATAACTGTAATAAAATTAAATAGTTTCATTATTGTGAGATACATTGGAGCTTATTGTCAACATTTGCTTATAAGTTATGAGAAAAACAAAATCAATTTTGTACCAGAAAAACTCGCTGTAATATGGGTACTCTACTTGACCAGAAATTTGGGTCTTAAATACCATCCAATAAAAATGCATTTTCAATAATGATAATATTAAGTATTTACAATGAAAGTAGTGAGTTTTAAGTTGAGTTGGTTTCAAGTGTTGAGGAATTAAAATTAGCGTGTACAAAATCAACACAATGAAACAATCAAAAACAAAAAGTTGACTTACTGCAGGTAGGAAGCACTAGGTAATACAGATGAATCTTTCATTTCAGAGAATATTTTCAATAATTCTATGCTGTTCCATCCTTTATTTTGCAGGTACAGTTGTAACAACATGTACAGTTTCTCCGTCACATAACCACTAAACGCCGAATTAATGTCGGCCGGAAGTCCTTTAGGAACTATATTTTTCATCGCTTCGGTCAGTGCGATGTCCATTTGATTCGTTCTGAAACATATAAATAAAAAAAAACAACGTTCACATAGTGTCTTTTTTTCGAATATTCGACAACCGTCGTAGATTATACTGTCCGTACAAATTAATCGGCGTTAGGAAAGTACGCCCAGATATTCACTGATGATAGGCACTAGATAATAAATAAAGTTTAGAGTACATCACGATCACGTATGGCAGAGCATTATAAAAAGTGCATGGCAAATTAAATTAATAATCTAAAAATCTATTACAAGAACGACGAAAAAAAAAATACGACAGAAGACTGATGACTGAGTGAAGAGCGATTGTTTTATTTTCATTTTTTATTTTTATCAATTGAGAGATAACGAAAACGATCGAAACGTCGACCGTCTGTTCCATGCAAACGGAATTCTTCCATGACATTTTAGGTTATGATCACATCTTGACGTTCTCGAGTAAACACAAAAATTGTTAGCAGGCACTCTTTTCATTCGGTTGTAGCACTTTGTGTATATTAACACGACAAAATGGTAAGTTTTATCCGTTTCAATCCTAGTCTATTTCAATGGCTTTTCTATTAAAGTTTCATCAATATTAAATCCGAAAGATTGCTTAACGAAATATGCATCGATCGTTTTGATATTTCACATTAAACCGGTACTAAAGATTTGTGTTGTTTTTTTTTGTTATAGACGAAAGTCAAGTGCTCAGATTTGCGTCTTAAGGACAAGGAATCCCTGTTGAAACAACTCGAAGAGTTGAAACAGGAATTGGCCAATTTGAGGGTTTCTAAAGTTACTGGAGGTACAGCGTCGAAACTTTCCCGGATGTAAGTATTAGCATTTATATTATATTTTATGATATTGTATTCACGTTAGAATCAATTTAGTAATGCCGATTTTGAAGGAACTTCTGGTTATTATACTTTTTATATGAATTTCCAATTATTGAAAATCATTCAACTCAATATAATTAAGAACTAACAATATTTTTTGATTTTTAGTCGTGTTGTCCGCAAAGCCATCCTACGTTGTTATGTCGTAATCCATCAGAAACAAAAGGAAGCACTACGAAAAATCTTCAAGGTATGTTTAAATATTGTAAAGTTTTTATAAATTGAATTATTGAAATATTTATCTTTGCCTGAGATAGTTGTACGTACTAATGTACTATTGTAACAAACCAAAATACTAGATTTCCTTCTTGTGTATGCTGTAACTTACACTAAAAATATGTCTCATTGTACATTTTATGGTAAATTTTTCTTAATCAGGCTAGTTGAGTTAAATTAGGTTATATGCTTTGATTAACACTTTAATAGATGGTCCTTATTTGGTTTTCTGAAAAGTTTCCTGATAAAGGTAAATTTTTAATTAATGCTACAGCTATGAATTTTTGTGTATGGAAAAACTGGATAAGAATATTCAATACATTAGTTTATTTTGTCAGTGATAGTAGCCCATCTGCACCATATAAGACTGGGGAAAGCTCCTGATCAATCATTAATGCCATCCTTTTAGAATTCTGCTATAGTAATATTATTTGAAAGTGTTCCTCGTTGTAAATTTTTGAGTTCATTGCTGCGGCATTATTAATGCTTACAGTTCATCATGTATCGACCATAAATCCTTGCATGCCAATATAAAATAATATTTGTTGAATGTTAAAAAATTATTTAGTCTATTATTGATGGTCGAATCATAATGATAGTGCCTATTTTAGCATAACAATGTAGCTTGATTCCTTATTTAAAGTGTGCCCCGCAAAAGCCACTATAATTATTTATGAGAAATATGTCTGAAAAGAAAGGAACCCTTTTCGATGGGGGCACGCTGTTTAGGAATACTTAGTTATCCAATCATAATATCAGCTTCTTGGGTAGAGCTAACAATGATATAATGATATTTATTAATCCGTCTTACGGAACACGGATTTAGATATCTCATTTAGCCGCACGTGGTAAAAATGTACCCCTCGGAAATATATAGATATAAGAGTTTGCATTATACAAAAAGATTATAAAAACATTTTTTTTTTTTTTAACGATATTTAGTATAGTAAATTTATAATGTTTGAGGCTAATGAGGTGATCAAATATCCACATACCATATTATATAAACATTTTTTAAATGTCTGGGGGAATATTATTTACCCCGTGCACTGTAAGACTGGTTAAAAATGTACAATATATAATGCATTTTTTTAAAAAATACTTTTTACCAACTTATAAATAGGGTTTTTAACTTTTTGTTACGGGTAGTTTTTGTGGCATTTTGAAATTAATAAGTACAACATAATTTTTTGTTTTGCACTAAGTTTTACTGGATCATTTCTTGTATCTGTCAAGTTATTTGTAAAATATTTCTGCTTACTGTAAGTTAATCGTTTCAAATTGTTTGGCAATTATCTTGCTATATTTTGAATATGAACTGGTATTTGGAATTTATGCTACTCCTATATGGAATGAATAATTACATGGACGATGCGCGGGTAAAACGGAATAAGTTAATTTTTATAAATAAAAATATTTAGTTTTGTTGGTTATTCTACTCTGAGTCGACTGGTGATTGTCCATATTATAGTTATAAGACTCGCTTTTTTTTTAATATTTCTTATAGGTAGCTAGTATTTATAAATTATTATTTTTTTCAGAACCGTAAGTACAAGCCTTTGGATTTGAGGCCAAAACTTACCAGGGCAAAGAGGCGTGCATTGACTAAGAAGGAACTTAGTGTTAAGACAATGAAAGAAATCAAGAAGAAGAACAAGTTCCCCCCTAGGATGTACGCAGTTAAAGCTTAAGTTCTGTTATACTGACCTTAAATAAAAAAATTAAAAAAATTATGTTTGATAAACATCTCTTTCATTAATACCTCATAATTTCTGCACAAGAAATTACTGCTATATTCTACAAATCCCTGTGCAACACCTTGCCATATTGAAACCAGTATCTGTAGCTGGTGGTCATACAGATGAACCAATGTTTGTCAGGCCTAAAGGTGACTTCAAACTGCCTCGTTTATTATGATTTCCTGGAAAAAAATCAGTGCTGTGATTTTATGAATCTAGCTGTATACTACAATATTTCCATAGTATATTTTATACCAGTCACCACTAACCATTTAATTACAGTGTGAAGTCTCCTTTAGTGATCTGTGATGCATGAATAAATTATTTTATACTTAAACTAGGTCTTATAATATACATACAAAAAAACACGCTTGAAAACTACAATTCATCTTATGTCGTGTAGTAAGTATTTTGACTAACAATAACATACTATATTATAATATAATTAAAATATTATATATATAACTATTGATTAGCATAATATTGGTCTAAATTAGTAGGGTAGTTGAGTCTCGAGTACCTATTTACATGGATACTACTTTTGTATTTATAAATTAGTAATAAAACACTAGACCGGTAAATTTATGCTAACAAATACGCAGTGTTGATAAATTGCCTTTAAAAGTAATGAAATTACGTTAAAATATGTTTTATTTAAATTACATTCGCGTTACCAACTTATTTTATATGTTATACTTTTACATTCAAAAAGTAGGCAGTTGCCAAAATACAAAATACGTTACTTTTTAAAAAAATATAAATTCGGTCCATATTGAAATAATAAGTAATGACTTCAATGTCATACATGAACAAAATGTAGTAATTATGAATGCTGGGAACTTTAATAATATTGTTAAATTAATTATTACTTATTATAAAAACTTCAGAATCGTAAATAAATTGTATTGATTTTTATTTTTTCTCAATTATCCTAGCCCCTAGTTTTTGACATACATTCTACATTCATATTATAATAGCAAATTTAACTATTGAGTGGACCAAAAAATTTGAAATATTCCGGTATACTTATTGATTTAATTCAATTAATGTCATTTAATCTCAAATAAAATACAAATTGAAGTAATTGCAAATATCTTATATAAACAATGAAAGCATTTTTTAAAGATAATAAATCATTAATTTTATTTGCACATTATTTATATTATACAGTTGAAAAATAATTAAATCAGCTATTACACCTTGTTTAATTTCCTAATGAATTATCAAACTAGCATTAATCATAACAAATGTAATATAAATTCATGTTAGATTAAGTTGACAAATAATTGCAATTTAATATTTGTTCATTAGTCAATAATATATACTATCATAAAGTTCATCTTATTTACACAAATATAGATATGACCTTTTTTAATTCGTATAAAAATCTGTTGTAGCACCAAATACAAAATAATAGAACCCATACATACATAGGCCCAAATAGGGGAAGAGCAGCTTTAGGGGCTAAGTCCCCCCAAATATTTCCTACATTTAGTTTTAAGCTTATTCGACATTTTAAAAGTAAGGCTTTAAATTTTAATAATTCACAAGTAAACAAATTTCTGACCACAACATTTTGGCGCCCCTAAAATACTGGTGCCCGGGGCAGTTGTACCTAGCACTCCCCCCCCACAACACTAATGCTGCCCCTGCACTTGACAATATAAATATTATATGACTGTATACATGGTGAGTAGATGCTTTAGTGACCAAAATAAATAATTTTCTACAAATTAAAAATATATGCAAATACTCGATTGCCCACATACAAGTTTGGTTAATGATAACCAGCGATTTAAAAGACTGAAGGGATCATGAATTTCATATTTAATGAGTATTACACATAAATATATTTATCAAGAATTTGATATGTCATTAGCTGGTTGCAATGCAAATATTTTAACTTTGTACAATTCTGATGGAAAATTTTTTGGGTTCGCTTGCTTTACATATTAAATTTGCTTGCTGGAATCTAATACAATACTGAATGAAGCTCCTTGTTATTGAACTATCTAATGAATCTATTTCTCCTTCATCGTCTTGAGAAATGTTTTCTTTAACGACTATAACACCATTTGTGTTTAATAATTTACTAAAACAAAAAGCAAACATATGTAATTATTACTTGAGCCAAAAACATAAGGCAAATGTCAACTTCTCAGTTACCTACTAATATTTAAAAAAAAATGGTTTTCTTACCTACACTTTTTCAAGAACTCGACCAAATCATTATCTGTAAGGTAACCAAGAACCCACTGGATCCATATGACGTCATATTTTTGATTTTCGGTGGGTGTGAATTTTTGTAATCCTGAGCAATGTGATTGTAGGTATTATTATTTAATATTTATTCCATAATCTTTCTATGATAACAAATTGTCACCTACCAGAACAGTAAAAATTTTCTACATTAGCCCCTTGACATTTCAGTTTGGCTTCCTCCAAAAACTTTTCATCCTGTTCCAGCATATCAACACATTTGAAGTGTTTGCACAAGAGGTTTTCGGATATCCTGCCGATACCGGCACCGCAGTCCAACGCTCGACCATTGGACGGACCATCTTTCATTTGGAACAATTTCCTAAGGAAGAGATCAGAATCCTTGATGTCCATATTCGTTAAACTGGAGAACCCGCCAAGCATGCCATTCACCGAAGCCGGAACATTAGACCAATAGTTTTTACTCTTCTCGTAATCCAATCGTTCATCCATACTTACTATTCACCAGCGTCAATATCGTATAAGTTAACTAGGAAATAATATTTTTAATAACGAATTCCACTAAAAATCAAACAACTTATATAGTTATATAAATCGGTCATCCCATTCATTGGATACCATTTTATTTTTACAGCAATACAACACTACAATTACAGCTCAAGAACATTCAAAATTTTAAACAGCACAATTTAGATACCTACAATTATTCTACAAGTTGCAGCTATAAATTCAAAACAATTTACAGTATCGACTATCGAACTACCTATCCATCATTTTTTTTTTTTAAATCATATTATATAATCAATGTTTATTGTTTAATACTTTAATGTATCAAATGATAATAATATTATCACTGTTACATTTTTTTTATCATATTTCTTATCACTCCGGGAGAACTAGTAGCACGAGTGTCGCTTCTATATTGTTCTATGCTATAGCCTATAAGTAGTTACCCTCCCCAGTACCATCACAGAAGTACAGAACACAATTTTATTATAAAGAAATTATGCAACGCTGCTAGACAAATGTGTCAGATATCACTTGAAGTTCGCTATTTTCCTTATTTATGCAAAACGCTCTTGTTTACCACGTCTCTTACAAATGTATATATATTTTTTTAGTATTCTTTTTCACTTAAGTATTTTAATGAGTGTATGCATAAATGTGGATAATCCAGAACTTTAAGTGACAACATCTTAAAAACAGAAAATGTTTTGTGACCATATTTTTTGCAACCAACATTTAAAAAATTGTAATTAACTTAACTTTGAAAAAAAAAATGTCGCAATAGCATAATAATATAATATGTTCTATCGCAGTGCGATTATACGGATAGTTCGTATCAAACACTGTACTATTTGTTTGTATTTTTATTTCATTTTTATTTATTTAAATAATATATTAGAAAAATAACAAATACCAATTAGGTACCTACCTAAGTACAGTGGCGGCAGGAACTATTTGTTCTATGAAGCAACTACCTTAAATTAGTACCCACACACCAATTTTTCACATTTTACACTCATATATTTTACACATTGCAGTAAACGCAGGTCATACATGACTATGCGAGTATAAATTATAAACTAGTATAGTCGTATAAGTCTTGGAAACTGGAGTCATTGTCTCATTAGTCATTGGGATACACACCCGGCAAATTAGATATTAAAAAATTTAAAACAGACTAATAGGTACCTATATTAAAATTGTTAAAAAAAATGTTGGTAGTCTTACAATTGTGACAATGATTGGTACCAATGGTGGATCTAGGATTTTTTTAAGAGGAGTGCTAAGGTAAGGTCTCATATTCTGTATACTCTCACCCTGATGGCAAGACTTTTTTAGTATTCAAAATGAATGTGCGGAACAAATGCACTTTACCAACCCCCTGATGATTTTCAAATTTTTTTTTTCAAACGGCTTGGTTTTTTATGCTTAAAACCATGGTGTAAATTTGTTTTGCCACCTGTTGAATCCTAAACACATTCAGGCTTTTACCGGAAACTATTATTTTAGAAATTATAGCCTTCCAAAGTTTGTGATTTTACGTTCAAGCGCCTGCGCCCTGCGCGCAACGCTACTTGACTGCCAAATGCAGTGCTATTCTACGTTTTTTAACAAAAGTTGATACTGTTGGAATAGAGGTAATTCAGGAGTTAGAAAGTGAAAATGAGTCACTCAGTGGAGATGATGATATTGTATGATATAAATTTGTATAAATTAGTATTAAATATATTTTACACTTTTACAGTATTTTTTTTAATTGGGGTAATACCTAGTCTAATTATGTACTCAACTATATAGTCTATATTTCACCTTAATAATGACGTGATTTATAATATTATTCACTTAAAAAATGACTGTCACACAAATTGTTAAAATACGTAAAAAAAAAAGGTGCTCTGCTGTACAGTAGGTTACAAGTGGGTAAGGGGTAACTGTATAATGGATTTTATTAAATTTGAATTCAATGATATAATATCATTGTATATAAGAAAAACGATTCTGAACGGAGACGGTATATGTCGGTCTAGGTATAAGACATATAAACTTTTCTATGGTATCAAAAAAAAAATTGTACCTATAATAAATTCCAAATTAATCATATCACAATAACCATTAGGTACTCATAACATGTTATAACTCAACAACAAACCGTAATACTATAATAGATATATAATAGTATACTTTAGAAGTTTCAATTACCCAAGAATAATATTATACAATCACAACAAAATAACTAAAATAGTTATTCTAGGTTTTTAATATGTGTTTTCGTCCAAATTTGAACTTAAAATGACTACTAAAATAAACTGTGCTTATGTGTATTTTTTTAGATTTTTTGGTAACAGAATAAACTAGGTACTTACGTGAAATCTTGTTTTAAATTTTCAATCCTTAGATATAAAAGTAGAACATTTTATAGGTAAATTTTTAACTACAAAATAATTATTCAATTTTAAATTTGATAAATTTTGTCAAAATTCGATTTTTAAATACTTATAAAAAAAATGTGTGACTATGTATTTACTTTTAAGGCCCTGAATTTGAATCTGTTTGAAAAAATTGTCGCTCTTTTTTATTACGGAAGTTACCTATACCAAAAAAACCGGTAAAAATCGATTTTTAAAAATATCACGGTATCGTCGGTAAAAATAGCCCAAAACGACTTTTTTTAAATTTTTTTTTTATAAATGTGTGTTTTTGTATTCCCAAGTTTTAGGTGCAATCACATTTTCCATATTGTACTTACTTTTTAAGTTATACCAAAAAAACCGGGGAAAAAATCGTTTTTTAAAAATATTATGGTATCGTCGTTAAAAATAACCAAAAAGGACTTTTTTAAAAAAATTTTTTATAAATATGAGAAAGATACAATTTGGTATAAAGATAAATGTGAATTATGGAAAAACGTATTTTTCCGTACCGACAGTCGTGTATTACAATTCACTTTTTTTTTATTTTTATCAACATACGATTTTCGACATCACCACTGAAACCCATCCGTTGCTTCCAAATTAGCACATAGGTAATATTAAATTATGTCCCTGGTCGCACTTCAATGAATTGTCAGTTGCCATCAAGTTCCATGACTGTAATTTTTGAATCACAGTTAGTGAAACTGGTCCATTGGTTTTATATTCAAACAACTCAAAGATATCAATAAAATTAAGATCAGACATTTTGTAAGATTTAAAACTACAGTAGGTATAACGTGACTTTACTAACAGTTATGACAAATTTATTTTTCGATTATTTTTCAACTACCTACATTTAACCTTTCAGCAGGTGCGTATAGACTTACCTAACTTTTATCTACGTATCCCGATTAATACATGGGATACGTATATGAACGTACCTATATGTTATAAACACTTAATAATTTTTATCTTATCTTACGTATTTTTCAAATTATAATTGATGTATATTATCTGCAAGCGTGGCCACTCGCTCGCTGCGCTGCGCTCGGACAAATTTCCGGAAACTTACCGTTCAAAAGTTGTGGCAATTCAAAGTCATTACGCGTAAGTCATTAACACCACCTGGATTAACCTTTAGTAGGTTACAGGAAAAGTTATGTCGTAGTATATGGGCAGTCATTACGCGTGTCGTCGCTACGCTCCTCGGCGCCATCACTCCGCTCCGCAAATCGAAAATATCCCCTGACTTGCTATGCAACACCACCACAAGTATGTCACATGGTACATAATACATAACTACGTAAGTTTCAAAAAAAAAAAAGGTGGGCAAGTGGGTGTCGCTCTGCTGTACAGTAGGTTACAAGTGGGTCACTGTATAATGGATGGTATTAAATTTGAATTCAATGATATAATATCATTGTATAAGAAAAACGATTCTGAGCGGTGACGGTATGTCAGTCTATGTATAAGACATATTATATACATATCTATGGTATTAAACAAAAAATTGACCTATAATAAATTCCAAACTAATCATATCACAATATCCATTAGATACTTATAACGCGTTATACATCAACAAAAACCGTGATACTATCATAGATATATAAGGGACTGTATTACATGTTCCACAATTATTCGTTCCAATAGACATTTGTTCCAAAAACTTTTGTTCCAAAAACTTATTGTAACAAATATCCATTGGAACAAATGTAATTTGATAAAGAGAACATTGGAACAAATGTTTTTGTAGCATAAATCCTTTGGAAAAAATATCATTGGAATAAATGCTTATTGGATTTTGACAAAATATATCGGAACAGAATATATGGCTTGCAAAAAAGTTCATTGGAACAAATGTACAAGTGACAATTTCGGAATAAACCATTTGTTCCAAAAATAATATATTCCAATAAATATTTTTTCCCTGCTTTGTAGTTTGTTGATTTGTATTTTGTTCCCATTTCCCGAGCAATGGCGAGCATTGGCATTTGGCGCACGCATAGATATTATATGAATAAAATAGTAGTAATATAACAGCATTGATTATACCACAGTCGAGTTTCGAGTAGGTACACGTTAACACGTGAATAATAATTTTAAATTACCACAAAATATCTAACTAAAATCGTTTTTCTATGTTTAAATGTTATGTAATTCGTCCAAATTTGAACTTAAGGGGCCTTGCGCGTGGGTAGAACACGATTCCGTACGGCCCTTATCAGCGTACGGAATCGTACACATTTTAAGACAAACGATTCCTGTCGATTCCGTACGTTTTGTACCCAAGAGTTTAGCGCAATGTTGCCAGATTTTCATAAGGTTACGTAGGTATTTGACTATTTGACTTAGTTATAGCGTTTTACGTACGTCTCACTTAAATATAAGTAAGGGTCCAAACATGAAACAGATGATTATATTTTCCCGGCTATATAGGTAGGTACTTAACTTACCTATTAGATAAGTTTTTGTTGTATCCAGGGCCGTAGGTATTTAGAAATGATGTGCCCCGGGGCACTAATTAAATTCCGCCCCTCCTTTTGGTGGAATATGTGGATGTCCAGTGTTAAA